CAAGTGATTCTTTTTTAAGCAAAGATGAAAAAGATGAATTTTTCCTGGTGACTTGAGGTGTTTATCTTTTCAGAGAAATTAATGCCAATTTCTCTTAAGAGACACCCTACTGTAGGGGCACCTGGGTGGCTCAGTAGGTTAAGTGTCTACCTTCAGCTCAGGTCATGATCCTAGGGTGCTGGGATTGAGCCCGGCATGGAGGCCGCATTGAGCCCTGCATGGGCTCCCTGCTTCTCCCGCTCCCCCTGCTTGTGCTCTCTCTCTCTCTGTGTCAAATAAATAAATCTTAAAAAAACAAAAGTAACACCCTACTATACATTAATAGAATTATATATGAGACAGAAGCAGCACAAGGGAGGACGTGATTAACTTGGCAAGAGGTGGGGGGTGGGGAACATGATCAGAAAAGACAGTTTGGAGTAGGAGACCATCAAAATTTCAATTTTAAAGGATGAACTGAGTTGAGAGTGAGGATGTTAGGATAGGAAGGGATTGGTATTTCAGGCAGAAGGAATAGAATATTCTAGGGAAGACCACAGAGGGGAATAGCAGTGTGCATTTATCTCCTAGGGCAGAGGTGGAATACATCTATTCCAGGGGAGTAGTGTCAGGATTGGAATTCAGAGAGGTAGGCAGGGCTGATATCATAACTGGCTTTGTGTAAGATGCTAAGGATCTTGGAGTTTACCTTGGTGATGAGGATCTAGTGAGAAATTATTCATTTGCCTCTCATTGTCTTCCCTGACAGGAATGCTCCATTTCTGTGCTCCTGCCCTCAGGTAAATAATATCGTCCTCTCTGGCGCTCAACCAGGAAATCTCAGAGTGAATTTAAATTTTCCTTCCCATTAAAGAACAATCTCACCATCCCCATCCAACTGGAATCCACAAAGTGCTTTCTTTCCTGTTTGCTCTGTGCTGCTTGACTCAGGTGTTTACAATCTTTCCCCTAGATTATTTCAAGAGCGTCCCGACTGGTCTCTCTGCTTGATATTTCTTCCTTCAATCCATCCGACACGTTGCCACTGGCACAGTCTCTTTAAATAAAAGTTGAGGTCACTACTCTTCCTCCAAACCTGGACTCCTCCCTCTTACATGCAGAATAAAATCTCACCGGGCTAACTGGGTGTTTTAGATCTTCCAAAAATTGACCTCCATTAAACATTTCAAGCTTTTGTCTCATTTCACACCCCTTCATGAACCTCCATCCAACACCATACTTAATCATCTTGCTTTGTACCTTCTTGTGTGTGTATATTTGCTCCTGTTATATCATATTTTTCCTAAAGCCCCTTTCTTCCATCTATTTTTTGAGGCTTGACCCAAATCACATCAGTTGCATAACACATTACCCTCAAATTTAGTGGCTTAAGACAACGGTAAACATTTGTTGCCTCCCACAAAGTTTTTATGAGTCAGGAATTTAGGAGAATCTTGGCGGAACGTTCTGGCTCAGGATCTTCATAAGTTTGCATTCATGGACAATCTGCTTCCAAGGCTGGTAAGTAGGTGTTGGCTCTTTGTGGGAATCCTCAATCCTTCTCGAGGACTGTTTGAGGGTACTTTGTGACAGCTGGCTTCCCCAAAAGCAAGCAATCCAAGAGATCAAGGTGGAAGCCATAGTGCCTTTTATGATCTGGTCTCAGAAGTCACATACTGTCACCTTCACCACACTCTTTTGGTCACACAGACCAATCCTGACATGAGGGAGATTGCATAGGGTATGAGTACCAGAAAGTGAGGATCATTGGGGACAATGCTGGAGGCTGGCTAGCATAACATCTCTTCAAGAGGCTTTCTAGATTCCCCAACTCCATGGGCCCCTCTTCTCTCTGTCCTCTGTCCTGTGCATACCAAATTGCCTAATTATTGAATGAGATTTAAAAATCAGAGCTCTAGGATATCTTCCAATAAAAATAACATTTTCTTAATTATTAACTATTATTGTGAACCTGAAAATTTGTTTTGGTTAATTATCAAAGGGTATAGTGCTGAGGAACTTTGTTCTCTAAAATCTTAAGTTGTCAGAAACTCTTGTTTTGAACTCATATTAGTGAGACAGAATATATCTTTCTTACCTGGGAAATGTAAACCATCCAAATAAATCACTTTAACTTGGAGAAGCAGCCTCAATTTACAGTGCAGAGGTTCAGATTAAGGGGTTTTTGGACACAATATTCTACATTAATGTTAAATTTATATTTCCAAGAGAATAGAACCCAGAGGATGCTTCTCAACTCAGATCTGATATTAACCCCTTACAGATCTGATTTGCTCTGAGCCTATTAAATACTGTTTCATTTAGATTCTACCTAAACTCCTCCCTTCTTCTAATACTATAATGACCCCCATTTCTTCCTCTTTTTTTGGGGGGACAGGCCCATAATTCCTCTGCTGTGTGGTATTCTTTCTGTAGCAAGTTGATAAACTTAACTTTGTTGGGTTACAGTTTTGTCCTTAGTGGTCTTTACCTGATGGACTTTATGAACAGCTAAAATTATTTGAACTCACATTAACTAAGTTCATTTTTTTAGAATCACCCCTGCTTTTTGAACATGGGTGCTTTTTACTTTTTTTATTTTTATTTTTTAATTTATTTAAATTCAATTAATTAACATATAGTGTATTATTAATTTCAGAGGTAAAGTTCAGTGATTTATCAGTCTTATATAACACCCAGTGCTCATTACATCACATGCCTTCCTTAATGTCCATCACTCAGTTACCCCATGCCCCCCACCCCTCCAGCAACCCTCAGTTTGTTTCCTATGAGTCTCTTATGGTTTGTCTCCCTCTCTGATTTTGTCATTTTATTTTTTCCTCTCTTCCCTTACGCCTCTGTTTTGCTTCTTAAATTCCACACGAGTGAAATCATATGATACTTGTCTTTCTCTGATTGACTTATTTTGCTAAGCATAATACCCTCTAGTTCTATCCACGTCGTTGCAAATGGCAAGATATCATTTTTTTGATGGCTGAGTAATATTCCATTGTGTAGGTATACCACACCTTTATCCATCTTTATCTGTCGATGGACATCTGGGCTCTTTCCATAGTGTGGCTATTGTGGACATAGCTGCTATAAATAGTGGGGTGCAGGTGCCTTTTAGAATATCTTGCCTAATGGGTCATTCTTACTCTCCTCTGAACTGTAATCTATTTCCTAAATATATCTTTCCTCTAACCTTGCATGCTCTTGCTTCACTGTTACAAACTCCAAGATGATACACTTTCTCCTAACACTTTTACATTACTATGCAATTTATTGGTGAATTAGTAATTTTCTCTCTTGTCCTCCTACACAGCTCTTTCTCTGGTCTTTTAGGCTTTAGCTACAAAAGCATCTTCTGTCGAGCCCTAATAGAAAGTTCTAGACAGGGGCGCCTGGGTGGCTCAGTCGGTTATGCATCTGCTTTCAGCTCAGGTCATGGTCTTAGGTTCCTGGGATCCAGCCCAGCATTGGGCCCCCTGCTCAGTGGGGAGTCTGCTTCTCCTTCTGCCTCTGCCCCTCCCCCCTACTCATATTCTCTCATGTTCTCTGTCTCTCTCTCTCTCAAGTAAATAAATAAAATCTTAAAAAAGTTCTAGACAAAACTAAGCATTTTTGTGTTGTCATAGTACAAAAGGTGTTCGTACCTCTAACGTGACACTTAACATATTTATAACTTTTTTTTCATAGTTTTCCTCCTCTACCCACCTTTGGAGAGCAGAGATTGTGATCTGTTTTTATCTTTGTATCCTTGGTGCATACCAAATTGCCTAACTGTTGAAGGAGGTAATGAAAATATCTATGTGGTAAACGGAGAATTTAGTAGAAGCTCCACTTTAGCAAAATTTCCATAGTTGAACACCTTGACACACACACACACACACACACACACACACGGCTTGTGATTCTTGTCATCTGTATTAGGCAACTCCCAGTTAATATTGAGTAAACACCTGGGAAACGACTGTTTGTGGGCTACTTTAACATGAATGTGTATTATGCAAGGTTTTATGTACTTACTTTCTGATTGATAACTCTGTTCTCCAGTTTCTTCAAGTGAAGACAGGGATCACTAAGTTACTGTGCATATGCCAGTCTAAAAGCTAGGGATAACGATTTCTGCAGCATAGGGCCAGCCAGAAGAATGCTCTCATCTGTAATGCCCTTCTGATTCTGGGAGTAAGGCCAGCATTCACACAATGCACGATTGTTATTTCTGAATATCCCTTTGCAAAGAACAGTGTTCTCAAACTTTCTGTTTGATCAGAGCCACATTAAAGAAACACACTCCATATCACTGCTCGGGACACATGGACACAAAACTGGAATAAAAATTTCTCGGAACAACTTGTTTACACGTGAGGCACTCTGAGTTTTCTATTGTCTTCTATTAACCAATTTCTCTCTCCCTCTCCCCCCCCCCCCCAGTGGTGGTCTCAATCTACCAAACTCACTCCACAATCCCCTAGAGATTATAACCCATGGTTTAGAAAAACCCTGGCTTGGAAAAAGGTCTTCGATTTGTATGGTCATTCTTCACACATTTCCCTACACCTCTTCGGAGTTTCCGACCGGTATCTTCGTCTAAATAATCACTGCGCCTTCAGTTTTGTATAAATGCTCTATGATGGGGCCGTTCCCCTTCTTCCTGAGCTCCTTTAAGAGGGTGGTAACGGCACTTCATGGTGCGGGGGAGGGGGTAGGCGGAGTAGCAGGTCCCACTAGGTCCCGGTGCAGGGTAGGCCTGCTCTTCCAGTTCTTGTGAGAGCTTGAGTGGGTGTGCACGCGCGAAGGTGTGAGTACGGGTGAGACAGCGACAGCAAACGAACTAGCGCCAGAGAAAGGATCAGCAGCATCTCGGCGCGGGCAATCCGGGTGACCCTGAGCTGGTCCGCGCGTGCGCAGAGAGCATCCCAGGACTGTTCCGGCCTTCGTGGCACCCGCGCGCGCTCCCGCCGAGCTGAAGTCCGTGGTGGGCAACCGCGCGCGGACGACGCGGCGGCGCGCGCCAGGGGGCGGTCCTGCGCTGTCTGCACCGCCCTCCCTCCGCTCCGCTCTTCTCCTCCCAGTCTCCCCCGCGCTTCCTGCACTAGGGGTTGTCGAAGTCGCCGCTGCCCCCCGTCCCGGCTTGCTCGTACTGGCGGTTCCATGGCGGCCTTCAGCAAGTACTTGACGGCGCGAAACACCACGCTGGCTGGGGCCGCGCTTCTGCTGCTCTGCCTTCTCCACAAGAGGCGCCGCGCCCTCGGCCTGCACGGGTAAGAAGGCCCTTGGCCGCGCTGCCTTCCCGGGCCCGAGCGGGCGCGTCCTGCGCGCTCTTCTCGCCAGGCGCCCGGAGGACGGGTCCCTTGGCCCGGCTGGGTCAGGCGTGGAGAGGGTATCCGCTGCCGCCAGGCTCTAACGTCAAGGTGTCTGGTTTTCCCCGTGGCGCCGTCATCCCCATGTTCCCTGCTCCCAGCACTCTGCCCCCGGGAATGTCTCTTTCCCCCACACCCGCCAGGAAACCTGTGCCTCCTGCCCCCAGGCGTCGTCTTTAGTGCTCCCTGCGCCCTACTCTGACTCCAGGAGCGTGAATCTTTGCCCAGCGCACTAGCAATCCTGAGCCTCTGCCCGGAGGCTGTCGTCCCCAGCCCACCTCCTGTATCAACTTTCTGGGTATGTTCTAGTTTTGTCATCTCATCTCCTGAGAGACCGTGGGTTTGCTTTGTGGACGTGTATGTGTGATTTGAGGCTGAGGATTGGACTCGCCAGGATGGAGGCTGTTGCCTCAGTCGCTTGGATGGGGTTTGGCATGATTCCCTAGTAGTTGCTGTTCAAAGTCGTGAGGATTGTACATGTGAACGCTTCTGGGTCCATTTGGTAAGATTGCTTTCTAAAGTGGTGTTCCCTGGGAGGTGGTCAGTGAACTCCCTGACATTTCACCCGGAAAGGCTGAATTTGGAGATCAAGGTTCCCTCTCCTGGCTGTTCAGGTGGAAGGTTAAAGTGTGATTTAGCTGAGGATCAAGATCCTCTTCTTTCTCCTCGAGAGAATCTTAATGTTTAGCTTTAACTTTGGGCGATGATAAGATTAGAGGAAGGAAAAGAGAGAATTGAGTTACTGTTGTGGGATTAAGACATAATATTTTATTCTCTGGGAGACACTTGGCTTCAGCAAACGAATTAGGAAAGGTTACTTCCCTAGCATTCTTGCCAGTCACTGGATATTCCATATTAAATCTTGGCATACTGCTTCCATGTATTTTATTTAATTCATCTCTCTGGGCAGGTACTGTTGCCTTTTGTTTTTGTTTTGCTTGAAATATCTGATTAGTAGTAGACTTTGGAGTAAATCACTAACAAGCGGCCTTCCATCCGTGAAATGCTTACTAACCTTCTCCTGTCTTCATCTTACTAAGGTCTGAAGTGGTGGTCTTTCTTTTCCTTTCTCAATTCGATTAACTGAGTTGAAAATGATTTGCATCTTTGTCCAGACAATACAGTACCAATTCACTTTTCTTCTATTCACTTAGCTTTTAAAATGATTTCTTCTTGAAAATATAAACATTTTTTTTTCTGTTGTGTGCTTTCTGAGTTCCCAGTTGCAAAGTTATTTGTTATCTGGGAATATGTCAGAAAATGTTAAATGCTATAAAATAACTTTGAATTACTTTTTATTAGAGAAATGTTTCAGTGCATAGAACAAGTGTTTTAGTATGAGGTAGGGGATTTGAGGGCAGCTCGAACAGCTGTGGCTTACTGTGTTTTATCAGAGTATTACATGTGTAATATGTATGGAATTTATATGGAATCTAAATATGGAATTTAGAAAAGTACATATTAAGTGTAGAGCCTGAAGAATTTTTACAGATAGAACTCACCCATGTAATCAGCACACAGATCTGCACCCATATAAGAACATTATCAGAAACTCTTCATGTCCCTTCCAGTCAGTTTAGATAGCTAGTGATTTATAAGGCTGTAGATTATTGTAAGGAAAGTTTTAAATATCATCTCCTGAGAAATAGCATAACAGTGTAAAAGAAATTGTCTTACTAAATTTTAGGTGTTTTTTCATTTACATTTTATTGTAAAATGCTTTGGAAGTCTTTTTGAGAAATTTAGTACTTTTTGAGGGATTAAGTTATGCAACAACTAATTTACTGAACAAAAGATTGTTAACCTTGTGCATTGGCATGAATAAGGAAAAATCTTTATTTTCCCCATTAAATATTTTGTGGGAGGAGAATGCAAATTAAGAGCAGATAAGCATGAAGTTTAAATTCCTGAGGTAAAATAATTGAATTATTTTAAAACCATCAAGAATGGTGTTGAGTCTGTTTTTGTAGATGTTGCATTTCCAGAAACTTTTGGATATCTTTCAAATGCTATCTTTGGCTGCACAGTTTGAAGATTAGGAGATTAGAAAATTCTAACTTTATATCTTACTGGCTTTTTGGGTATCGTTTTTACAGGGCTAATTTTCCTATCTGGTGCTTAATTAAGGAACCTATGGCTGCTTGGCCGTTTTTCATCTATGCTATGAACAATAGACTTTTCTTAAAAGGTATTCCTTAGAATCAACTAGGTAATAGAGCTAGTAAAACCACTTTAAAAGTTACAATGTCACATTATACCAAACATTAGGAGAATAAATAATTTAATTTTCTGAGTTATTTTTTAGTTTTGTTAATGCATTTTTTCAAAGTAAGCAGAATAATATAATGAACTATCTATACGCTTTACTGAAGAAGTGCCATCAACATTTTGCTATTCATGTTTCATCTATAGCCCCTTGCTCCCACCCCTTATTTTTCCAGGTTTTTAGGTAAATTTATATATATTAAACGGTATAAATCTTGGTTATACATTTTTTAAGTAAATGCAGTACAACAGTGTAACACACCCCTATCATAAATTAGAACATTTTCATCTTCTTAGAAAGTTGCCTTGTGTTCATTTCCCACTATGTATACTTTTTTCCCCTTAATTTTAAATCATGCATTTTAAAATCATTTTATTTTATTTGTTATTTATGGAGAATAGTGGAATCTGTACTCATAGATAAAGGAGACCATCTATTCAGTTCAAAGGAAGTATCTGTTTCAAAATGTTGTATTATTGCCCTAGGTGCTATGGGTAGAGGGTGTGTGTGTGTGTGTGTGTGTGTGTGTATTACACATACATTAAAAAAATATGACATCTTTTCATAGGGAGCTTACATTATTGTTAGGAAGAAGAAATTTAAATGCAAATTAATTAAAATTTTAAGGTGGTGACAGAATGCAGTGTACAGACAGACATGCCTTAGAAGTTCTGAGAAAGGAAAGATTAATGTGTTTGGGAAGCGTTAAGGAGGGCTTTATGAAGAATATGAGCTAAGCCTAGAAAAGGGGTAGGAGTGGATAACTGCAGATAAATTGAATGTTAACAGCAGCCTTTATCAGATTTTTGTGGCATTTTATGGTAGGAGGAAGCTTTGTGGAACCCTTTCAATCCATCTTCCACTGCCACCAGAGCTCTTTTTAAGAAACAATTATGATCTTGTTATTCCTTCATTAAAGTCTTTTGGTTATTCTAAAACACAAAATTCTTAGCACGAGAAAATCGTGTTCATGATCTGGTCCTTTACTACTTCTTCTCCTACTCATCCAGCCATATGGAGTAACAATCTGAGTATGACAGGCTTTGCTCAGTCTTTGCAGTCTGATTACTGTCATCCCCAGCACTTCTCCCCACCTTCGGTATTTATTTTCTTTCAAAACTCAGTCCAGTTAACACTTTCTCTTAGGTGTTTTCTGTCTTTTCCTGATTTCCAAACTGATGTTGTCCTTTGCTCCCCTGTGATATGCTAAGCATTACTTCACTAGTTAGCACTCTGTATTGTACTAGTTTATTTTCTTGGCTTCTGCCTATATCAGAGTGAGTTTCTTGAGGGGTGTACTGCGTCATGTATAAATTACTAGTTTGCACATGTCACGGGATACACAGTAAGTGTTGTATGGGGTGGGCAAATTACGTAGGACAGTTGAAGAACTTTTTTCTGAAGAACTTTTTTTTTTAGTTGAAGAACTTTTAAGGTTAAGGGTAATTGTCTGACAGTTGGGGATGTAGGACCAGTACAAACATGAATAGAGGCATTAGGTAATAGAGGTGATAGTTGTATATCTGAGAGTATGTAACATGGGCAGGGTATTAGGATATTACAGGCCAATTTTAGAGGGCAAAGAGACCAGTCTGCACTGCCATAGTATTTTATAGTCTTAAACCAAACACGAAAAACAAAAACAGAACAAAGCAGTTTCTTCCCCTTCCCATGAAGCTTGTCAAGTTCAGATTTCTCGTCCCTCACCTGGTCTCACCTTACCTGGCTAATCTTATATGCCTTTGCCTGCCAATGAGTATGCTCTGTTCCAAATAGACCAGTTTTGCACTGTTCTCTGAACAGGCCACATTCATCCCAGGCTTTGGAGCGTTATTCGTATTAACCAAACCTGGAATCTCTCTCCTTATATTTTCTGTTCTTCAGCTCTTATCCTTTAAGGGGTAGGTGAGAGTCATCTATTCCATGAAGTATCATGTAACAACTCTGGATGATCTAAATAATGATCCTTTTTAACTTCCTGAAGCATGAATTTAGGTACCTTATTTTTATTTTTTATTTTTTTGGATCAAACCATTTTATTGAGGGGCCTGGGCAAAAGGTCAACAGGCTGGCAAGATAGTGAGATTTGACATCCTTAGCCCGGCTGGGATCTCTCCAGCTTCACAGTTGTCAAAAGCTTAGGTACCTTTCTTGTTTTATGTCTTAATTGCTTGATTGGGTGTGACCTAGCTGTCAGCTATCAGGGTGTAGCCAAGTCCCCCAGCTTATGGAGTGGTCCTTTATCCTTTTCAAAGTTCACTCTGTAGATGGTGGGAACACAGTTTCCTCCCCCAAATATTTCTGAGGAGTTTCAGGAAGCTTGTAGTTTTCTTAGTTACACCTTATTTAAAATTTTGCCTCTGCTCTGTTTTATTTTATTTATTTATTTTAAAAATTTTAATATATATTTTGGTTTTTTTATTTCTTCAATTTATTTTTTTTAAAAGATTTTATTTGTAAGTAATCTCTACATCCAGTGTGGGGCTTGGACTCACAACGTGGACATCAAGAGTCGCATGCTCTTCCAGCTGAGCCAGCCAGGGGTCCCTAATATAAATATATATTTTAAATTGAAGTATAGTTGACATACAGTGTTATATTAGTTGCAGGTGTACAACATAGTGATTCTACAAGT